AAGCTCATTTTGAATTGAGTTTCTTCTTACTTTACTACCTACACAGGCCCACAGGGGATTAAACACACCTGTCTCAGGATTGGGCTCAGTAAAGTTTTCTGCTGTTCAAATCTATGGTTTGATTTAAATCCATTATGGAATTAGGAGCTAACTGTAGATTTGGGCTTGGATTCCAGACAAGGTTCAGGAATGTTAGATCTGAGGTTCATAGCCCTGTCAGTCTGGAAATATTGTATTACACTTTATTTTTTTATTTTGCCTGAACAGGGTACACAGAAGGAACTACTATGATTCCAAAGTGTACAGTACATGTATGCTGTATTAACAATTCTCCTTGATTACCAAATGCAGAAAGATAATTCCACTGTACCTAGTATAATTTCTTCTAGTAGGACATGCTCCTTTCAGACTGAAAGCATTCATTATGAACTGTAGAAATCTAACTCCAGGGTAAAAGCATAACTTCCCTAACCTAAGAATCATAGAATCATAGAAAATTAGGCTTGGAAGAGACCTTAGGAGGTGATCTAGTCCAACTCCCTGCTTAAAGCAGGACCATCCCCAACTAGATCATCCCAGCCAAAGCTTTGTCTAGCCGGGTCTTAAAAACTTCCAAGGTGGGAGGTTTCACAGTGTCTCTGGGTAGCCTGTTCCAGTGTTTCACTACCCTCCTCGTGACGAAGTATTTCCTAATATCTCACCTAAACTTCCCTTGCTGCAACTTGAAACCATTGCTTCTTGTTCTGTCATCTGCCACCACTGAGAACAGTTTAGCTCAAGGGTGAGCAAAATGGTGGACCCAGCTGGCAGCTGGTCTCCATTTCCCAGCAGCTCCTGCTTGCATTGCTGCATCCGGTTTCCATGGAGACCCCAGTAGCAGTTGGGGCCAGTCTTCATGGAAAACCTGGACCCATGCTGTTATAGCCCTGCTGCTTCTGGAGTCTCCATGGAAACTGGCTGCAGCAAGGCGGGCAGGGGCTGCTGGGAAATGGAGTCCACCACGGGTCTGATCCAGCCTGTGAACTAGACTTTGCCCAGTCCTGGCCTAGCTGCATCTGGTTTAGAACCACCCTTCAGGGAGTTGAAGGCTGCTATTAAATTCCCCATCAGTCTTTTCTTCTCCAGACTAATTAAGCCCAGTTCTCTTAGCCTCATCTCGCAAGTCATGTTCCACAGTCCTCTAACCATTTTTGTTGCCTTCTGCTGGACTCTCTCCAATTTGTTCATGTCCTTTCTGTAGTGGGGAGCCCACAACTGGACACAGTACTCCAGATGTGGCCTCACCAGTGCTGAATAGAGAAGACTATCACTTTCCTTGATCTGCTGGCAATACTCCTACTCCTGCTATTGTTGACTCAGATTCAGCTTATGGTCTACTGTAACCTCCAGGTCCTTTTCTGCAGAGCTGCTGCTTAGTCAGTCCCCAACTTGTACCTGTGACAGGGCTTGTTCTGTCCTAATGCAGAACTTCACAGTTGTCCTTACTGAACCTCATGAGATTTCTTTTGGTCCAAACCTCCAATTTGTTGAGGTCTCGCTGAATCCTAAGCCTACTCTCCAGCATATCTACTACTCCTTCAAGCTTGGTGTCATCTGCAGACTTCAGTGGTGTGCACACCACATCCCATCTGCCACATCATACTGAGTCATTAACCACTGTGGAGCTCTCACCAATTTTGCATAGTGGCTGGTTGGGGTTTTAACTTCATCCACATCAGATTTTCTATACAGTTTATTTGCCCATTTACAAATTTTATGTGAAATAATTAATTATTAGAAATATTAGTTAATGGCCACCATCATTTGCATTAACCAAACCTCATCTTGGGTGTAGTGGGAACATTATAAATCAGTGGTGCTTTTGCTGTCTGGTTTATGATGTCCCTAGAAGCTCTTGATGGAATTACGTGCTTGTTAAACCAGTTCAGTGCATTGCTTTTATCTGTATTTTTTCTAGCAGTTTGAGCAAGTCAGAATGAGTTTGGATCATGCCCATTTCTTACCCATGATCATCAATAAAATATGGGCTGTACCAGGATCTTTTTGGGCTAGGATATTGCCTAAACCAGAGTAAAGAAAATCAAAACTAGGCCTGTATGGTCAGCTTATGGCAAATCCTGAGACATCATATTTATCTGAATATATGTTTATATTTATGTTGTTTATGGGTATTTTTTTTGCTCAGGAGAACATTTATGCTGCCAAAATAAAATGAACTCTTATATTCTTACCCTTTCCAGCCTCAAGAAAGAAAAGTATCATGTAAAGACCAGAGTTCATGCTATTTAGCATATTAACATATAGCAGTAAGACAACTGACCAAGCAAGTAGGAACTAAATGGTGCCCCAAGCAGCTTCAGTCACTCCTTCACCCCTGTTTATTGTGACCCAATACTAGGATCTGACTAATTTAGGGCCAGAACCTGCTTCTGTTGAAATCAGTGCAGTCAGGAGGAGCAGGATTTA